CCTCTGCCCTCACCCCTGAACCCCCACACACACCCAGCCTTCTGCCCTGCACCCCCACAGGCCACAGCCCTCTGCCCTCACCCCTGAACCCCCGCACACACCCAGCCTTCTGCCCTGCACCCCCACACACATCCCCAGCCCTCTGCCCTGACCCCTGAACCCCCCACCAGGTCTGAGGTCCGGCTGCCGGCCCCTTGCCAGATGGCATCCTGGCCGCAGGACCCGCTCAGATCGCTGCTGTCCTAGGTGAACAGAACCCCAGGCTGGCAGCGGGCTGAGCAGGCTGGCGGCGTAAGATCAGCATTTTAATTTAATTTTAAATGAAGCTTCTTAAACATTTTGAAAACCTTGTTTACTTTACATACAACAATAGTTTAGTTATATAATATAGACTTATAGAGCGAGACCTTCTAAAAAACATTAAAATGTATTACTGGCACGCGAAACCTTAAATTAAAGTGAATAAATGAAGACTCGGCACACCACTTCTGAAAGGTTGCCTACCCCTGCTTTAGATTTTAGATTCTAAAAGATTAGCAACAGCGTGATTTGTGGGTAAGATCTGATTTGTATATTGACCAGGGTCTGGGGCTTAGTCCTTTGGGATCGGGAGAACCTTTTTTCTTTTACTGGGTACTGGGGTATTTCATAACCATTCGTCCCCATAATGAGTGGCACTGGTGGTGATACTGGGAAACTGGTGTGTCTAAGGGAATTGCTTGTATGACTTATTGTTAGCAGTGGGGTAAAACCAAAGTCCTCTCTGTCTGGCTGGTTTGGTGTGCCTTAGAAGTGGAAAAACCCCAGCCTTGGGCTGTAACTGCCCTGGCTCTAAGCAATTTGTCCTGAATTGATACTCTCAGAAGTGTCCCACCAAAGGCAGCATCGTTACAACTACAATGATAGCGAAGAAGTGAGTGATGATCACGCCATGGAAGCTTGCCACACTGCATTGCTACCAATCAGTGGGAAATCATTTTGTGGTTGGAAAATCCAGTGAGGGCCATTGTCATGCAAGTGTGTAGGGCCATTAATAGTCTCCTGCTACACAGGGACTGTGAATCTTGGCAATATGCAGGACATAGTAGATGGATTTGCAGAAACGGGATTCCTGAATGGCAGTGAAGCTATAGATTGCACACACATCCCTATTTTGGCACCAGCCACCTTGCCACAGAGTACATCAATAGAAAGGGCTACTTTCTATGGTTATGCAAGTGTCGATGGATTACTAGGGATGCTTCACTGACATCAGTGTGGGCTAGTCAGATAAGCTGCACTGCTCACATCTTTAAGAACACTAGACAGCTCACAAAGCTGCAAGCAGAGACATTCTTCCCGACCAGCAGATTACCAATGGTGATGTTGGAATGCCACTAGTGATCTTGGGGAACCTTGCCTATCCCTTTTTCCCCTGTGTATGAAGCCATACACTGGCCACCTTGACACCATCAGAGAAAGATTCAACTACTGGCTCAGCAGGCTCAGAATGACCGTTGAATATGCTTTCGGTAGATGGCATGGATGCTAGCATTGTTTGCTCACAAGCCTGGATCTCAGTGGGAAAAATATTCCAATGGTCATAGCTGCCCGCTGCATCCTTTATAATATCAGTGAGGCAAAGGAGGAAAAGTTGCCACCAGAATGGAGGATAGAGGTGGAGTAGCTGTCTTTGACTTGTAGGAGCAAAACAATGAAAAGTGTATACCTTTGTCCTGCTAATTTGGGGTTAGGTCCGGTGCTATCTTTACATTTAAACACTAAGGAAAAATGCATTCACACACTCACCCAAGGCTCTTTCCCCTTCATTGACTCTGTGCTCAGCTGGGGGGACTCACTAGATTGTGGTGCAGTCTCAAAAACAGGTCCTGGCTGGTGGCATAGCTGGACCTCCCTGCTGTGTGTTCCCCCCCCCACCCCTACCTATTCACAGCAGGGTTCTGTGTCTCAAGCTCCTCAGAGGTATCTAGAGTGGTCTAAGGGGTGCTAATGGAGTATCCACCAATTATGGCATGCAGCTTGGTGTTAAAAAAAAAAAAGGGTACGTCTGCAGCTTAGCATCAGACTGATTGTTGGCCTCCCTGGCCTTATGGTATGCATGCTGCAGTTTCTTCGCTTTTACATGGCACTGCTGCTGATCCCTATCGTATCCCTTTGCCTGCATTCTCTGTGCAATCTTTTCATAGAGGTCCACATTTCTATGGCTAATCCATAGCCGTGCCCATACAGTCTCTTCTCCCCACAGGCCCAGGAGATCCAACGCCTCCAATCTACTCCACAAAGAAGCGTGTCTAGTGCATGGAGTCAACATGGTCAGTTGGCAATTGCATGAAACAAGAGACCGCTTGTGTGCTCACAAAGCTGGGCAATCAGGAAAAAGCATTTTAAAAATACACAGAAGTTCTAAAGGAGGGTAGCTTCCGGTCTACGTGGCCCCTGGGCAGCAGAGATCACAATTGTGAGCAGAGTGGTCAGTGTCAGGCATTGGGGACAGCTGCTAGAGGACTGTTAGGGACGACATAGGTCATGCAGCATCTATACTTGCACTGCATCAACCTCAGTAGATCAACCATGGCTCAACACTATTCAATTAGATGGTTTTATTGAGTCACTGTAATGTGGTGCTTACATTGGCTGGAGACAAATTTGAGTGTAGACGCACGCACATATAGGCTGATGTAAGGCAACTTACATTGACCTAACGATGTAGCATAGACCCAGCTTTTGGAGTCTAAATCCCATTTTCAAAAGTGACTTAGATGCTTTTGAAAATGTTACCCAATCTCTATTAGGATGTGACCACACTATCAGAATGTTTGAGAACTCTTGCACTACACATTTTTTTAATAATTATTTTGTAAATCTTGATGGCACTAACCAAAGAAAGCTTCTTGGTTGGCCCAGACAGGTGGAGTTTTCAAACACTGCATAATGCAACAAGTTAAATAGAAAAGCAATAATGCACCTGTAAGCATTGCAACAGTCCTAATGCCATGAGATAAGATTTAAACTCCTAAAGTACATTAACACTTTACACCATCACTGTAGCACCTTAGCAACTCACAAACATTAATGAGTTTATACTTGCAACATCTGTGTTGTAAGGAAATATTAACACCTCCATTTTACAGATAGGAAAATAGGCATAGAGAGATTTAGGGATTTGCCCAGATCACACAGGAAGTGTGTGGCGGAGCAAGGACCTAAATTCAGATCTCATGAATCCCAGTCTAGTACTTGAATTGCAACACCGTCTGTCCTCTCACCTTCTGCTATCCAGATATGAAAGTATCATTCTTATTTTTAATATCCATGTCTCCCTACCTATTCCGCTTAGATTTGTTTGAGTCTTCCAAGAAAACTGAACGACACCTGGCTCCATCCAAAAATCCAAAGCTTCAATATAAGTAAGAAGTATAACTTGCCATGAATAAAACATTAAGTATATTTGGGAAAAATAAATTGGCAACTCTGAGTCCAAGTAGCCATCTTGTTGAAGAAATGTCACTTGTGACAACACCTGTGTGACAGACTGCTGTAAGAAACTAAATAAAATTGTCAGGCTGCTTTAATGATGTTTTTAACAATCAAAACTTGTTTCTACAAAACATTTCATTTTTAAGTTATTGGAAATGTTACACTCTGAAACTTGCTTAGAGTTGTGCTTTTTGTTCCTAAACTGCCAGTGTTGCAAATTAAGTCACTTCAACAGGACGGTCACCCATGAAATATGCTTTATTTATTATGAGAACCATTTCTTACCCTTTAGACTTTTAGATTGCTGGAGAAAATAAAATGAGTGCAGTTTTCCTTTAAATACAAAGAGAATATTTACCTAGAAACGATAATCACAGTTGTTAAAAAATATAAACACTTTTTCAAAGTATGTGTAACTACTGGCTTCTCTGAAATTTTCTATGAAAGGGTAAGTACCATGGTTTATAGTAACTGAACTTAAACTTTTGCTTATGATGCTTGAAAAATATTACTGAAATTTTTTAAAACTGTTCTGGGGTTCTGTGGATGCTCATCCTGTAGTTTAACAAGATATTACACACCTTTAATATACATTTTGGAAAGGAACATGAAATAAGATTAACAAAATCAACTCGTACTAAAGAAAGCTGACTTTTAAAGATTCAGGTAGCCTAGAACAACTCGAATACTTGAGGTTCCTTTTACTTATACCTAGTTTCTCTCCCTCTCTGCTTCCTCAAATAACTATTTAGAGAAAACTGCAACTTACAACAGAAGAATTATATAGGAACACCAGAATTATCAAATCAGATCAGAAAAATAGTCCATCTAGTTGAGTAGACAGCACTGACAGTGTACCAGACACTTAAAAGAAAGGTGCAAGAAACCTCATAATGGAATTATCCATACAGAAAAGATTTTAATTCTATAATCCAAATAAAGGGGTATAGTATCATGGGTCTATGGTTCAGATAAGGGGTCGGCAACCTTTCAGAAGTGGTGTGCCGAGTCTTCATTTATTCACTCTAATTTAAGGTTTTGTGCCAATAATACATTGTAACATTTTTAGAAGCTCTCTTTCTACAAGTCTATATTATATAACTAAACTATTGTTGTATGTAAAGTAAATAAGGTTTTTAAAATGTTTAAGAAGCTTAATTTAAAATGAAATTAAAATGCAGAGCCCCCCGGACTGGTGGGCAGGACCCGGGCAGTGTGAATGCCACTCAAAATCAGCTCGCGTGCCATAGGTTGCCTACCCCTGGTTCAGATCATATATTTTCTCTAAGCAAGAAGAGTCATTAACACTATAAATGCTCGTCACATACAAAACTCAAAGTAAACTACTATTGGAAATCTCTGATGAAGAAAGGCCTAGGAGAGAACTACCTGTAGTAAGGAGACTGAATTGCCTCTTACCCTTATAGAAGGTGGTCCCTCCAAATCAGGGCTCAGGTCAGCAATGGGCCAGTGTAAGAAAGCTCACACTTTGGCTGCCTGCATCGTATCTGACCTGTGAATAAACAGAGGATTTCAGTTTCCACAACAGCCAGTTCCTTAACCTTCATGCACATTAGAACTGATGATAAAATTTAATTTGGGAGTAAACTATTGATTTTTAAATCATTAGCTTATTTTTTAAGCCTGGGGGCTAGAGTCCCTGCTAGGGAAAACAGTTGGGTTTTTAAAGCTTTGGACCTATGCTTTTTGTTATTATTTTAACATCTGCATCCTAATTGTATCAAAGTGTCACAAAAGAATCATTTGAGGGATTTTGAACTTCATACCGAATTAGATGGTAGTAATGGTCTATGCTTCACTACCATACAATGTTATTGTAGTGGGAGCAGTATTGGCTACAGTTGAATTTGCAGAACTGTCACCAGCCTAACAACCTAATTGAAGAAGATTTCCTAGCATGGTCTCTGCCCAGAGGTGAATTATTTTGGAAAGTTTGAATAAAATCAGTTGACCCTTTTTGCACAGGTAGGAGGGTAGAAAAGTAATACACACTTTTCCCATTATAAAATTATACTTGCAACTTTTATTAAAATAAAACAAAACACGCACATAAATCCACAGCCAAATTAGCTGTGGATTGAAATTTGGCATAAAAATATGTAGACCTTATTGAAAAGGGGTATCTTCGCGTGTTCCGGAGGAAATTAATCATGGTTGTAGAAAAAAGTTGTAAGATACTATATTATTTTAGATATAATGCTCTAATATAATTAAAATGTAAATAAATATAATATAATTAAATATCATAATAAATAGTACCAGGGGACACTGCTAAAGTTGCATGTGCATCTTAATTTGGTGTTTACTGATATTTATTCATTCAACCTTAATGTTCTATTAACAGTTTACGGAATTATTTCCATAAAACACAGCCATTTTAAGATGGCATGTTCTAATTTAACCCTTTCCTCCTAACTTAGTAGAGGTCAGATCTAACAGCATGGAACTATAGAGGAGAAATTTAATAATCACTAGAGGAATAAAGAAGTGACATTGCAGAAACTTGAGTACCAAACATTCTCTGAATGACAGTATGTATCTTTAAGGGGATCATAAATTCAAAATTAGGGCTGTTGATTAATCACAGTTAACTCACGTGATTAACTTGTGATTAATAAAAATTTTAATCGCACTGTTAAATAATAGAATCCCAATTGAAATTTATTAAATATTTTGGATGTTTTTCCTACATTGTCAAATATATTGACTTCAGTTACAACACAGAATACAAAGTGTACAGTGCTCACTTTATTTTTGATATTTTTATTACAAATATTTGCATTGTAAAAATGATTTAAAAAATAGTATTTTTCAGTTCACCTCATACAAGTACTGTAGTGCAATCTCTTTACTGTGAAAATGTAACTTACAAATGTAGATTTTGTTACATAACTGCACTCAAAAACAAAACTGTGTAAAACTTTAGAGCCTACAAATTCACTCAGTCCTACTTCTTGTTCAACCAACTGCTACGACAAACAAGTTTGTTTACATTTACAGGAGATAATGCTGCCCGCTTCTTATTTACAATGTCACTTGAAAGTGAGACCAGGCATGGCATGGCACCATGGCCGCCGAGAGTGGGTTCGGGCCCCGGTGAAAAAAAATTTTTGGGCCCCCCAGCAAGGGTGGACAGGCTAAACAGGGCCGACGAGAGGCGGGGGAAGTCAGGCCCCGGGCCCCTTTCCGGACCGCCGGGTCCCGGTAAGGCAACAAGAGGGGGAGAAGCCAGGCCCCCTTCCGGACCGCCAGACCCCGGTAATTTGTACTGGCTTCCCCCACCTCTCGTCGGCCCCACATGGCATTTTTGTAGCTGGCATTGCAAGGTATTTACATGCCAGATATGCTAAGCATTCATACGCCCCTTCATGCTTCGGCCACCATTCCAGAGGACATGCTTGCATGCTGATCAAGCTCATTAAAAAAATAATGCATTAATTAAATGTGTGACTGAACTCCTTGGGGGAGAATTGTATGTCTCCTGTTCTGTTTTACCAGCATTCTGCCATATATTTCATGTTACAGCAGTCTCGGATGATGACCCAGCATGTGTTGTTCATTTTAAGAACACTTTCACTGAAGATTTGACAAAATGCAAAGAAGTTACCAATGTGAGATTTCTAAGGGTGTGTCTACACTACGAAATTAGGTTGATTTTATAGAAGTTGATCTTTAGAAAGTGATTTTATACAGTCGATTGTCTATGTCCCCACTAAGTGCATTAAGTCGGCGGAGTGCATCCTCAATACCATGGCTAGCATTGACTCACGGAGCGGTGCACTGTGGATAGCTAGCCCACAGTTCCCACAGTCTCCGCTGCCCATTGGAATTCTGGGTTAAGCTCCCAAGGCCTGATGGGGCAAAAAGATTGTCGTAGGTGGTTTTCGGTACATGTCGTCAGTCTCCCCTCCCTCTGTGAAAGCAACGGCAGACAATCACGCCTTTTTTCCTTGGTTACCTATGCAGATGCCATATCATGGCAAGCATGCAGCCTGCTCAGCTCACCGCTGCTGTTGTGAGCATTGTAAACACCTCATGCATTATACTGCAGTATGCGCAGAACCTGGCTAGGAGACACTAGCATGAGGATGATTGTGAGGACATGGATACAGATGTTCCTGAAAGCATGGGATCTGGCAATTGGGACATCATGGTGGTAGTGGGGCAGGTTGATACAGTGGAACACCGATTCTGGGCCCAGCAAAGAAGCACAGACTGGTGGGTATTGGATGATTCCCAGTGGCTGTGAAACTTTCGCACGCGTAAGGCTACTTTCCTGGAACTTTGTGAGTTGCTTTCGCCCGCCCTGAAGCGCAGGAATACCAAGATGAGAACTGCCCTGACAGTTGAGAAGCAAGTGGTGATAGCCCTGTGGAAGCTTGCAATGCCTGACTACTACCCAGCAGTTGGGAATCAATTTGGAGTGGGCAACTCTACTGTGGGGGCTGCTGTGATCCAAGTAGCCAATGCAATCACTGACCTTCTGCTAGCAAAGGTAGTGACTCTGGGAAATGTGCAGCTCACAGTGGATGGCTTTGCTGCAATGGGGTTCCCTAACTGTGGTGGGGCAAGAGAATGAACGCATATCCCTATCTTGGCGCCAAACCACCTTGCCAACCAGTACATAAACTGCAAGGGGTACTTCTCAATGGTGCTGCAAGCTCTGGTAGATCACAAGGGATGTGACGCTCGCATCTTTAGGAATGCCGGGCTGTTCGAGCAGCTGCAAGAAGGGACTTACTTCCCAGACCAGAAAATTACTGTCGGGGATGCTGAAATGCCAATAGTTATCCTTGGGGACCCACCCTACCCCTTGCTCCCATGGATCATGAAGCCGTACACAGGCAGCCTGGCCAGTAGCAAGCAGCAGTTCAACTATAGGTGGAGTATTAGAGGGCTTATTCCTTCACCCACTTACTTCCCTGGTCCTTCTAGCATGAACAGAGAGCAACAATACCCGAAGTCCAAAGGTGCAAACAATTCGATGTTTATTGAGG